AGTAACATGAAGCAGGTAAATAATTCTTTTGTTAATAGGGGATTTCCAAATTCCTATTTCATCATTTATCAATTTATCTCAGACCAGGGAGACAATATCATTATTTATAAATTTCAAGGCAAACAATATAAGCATGCGCAAATCATGCCGAGGTCATACGACCAGATCCAACATAATATTTAAACTGTGCACTGCCAGAGGGTCGAATGGCACGAACCATAGATGCATCTATTTAATCTACCGAGACGCTCGGCCCATTCCACAAAAGATAACACATTCAAACAATCAATCAAGAATTCATCAAGGGGCAATTATCCAAGAAAAAAGGTAATTTCTCTTTTAAAAGTCAAGAAAACGATGTCTAGTATTTTAGAAATTTATTTACAAAGTTCGATATGATTTAAGCATTTTAAATTGACAACAAGATTGCAAATATTACAAGTAAAGCATGTGTTTGGTTCCTAGATTACCCGAACTTAAGCATAATAGTAGCTACGCACGGACTCTCATAGCCTCGTGCGTACGTAGCTCCCACAAAGAGGATCACACATTGATTTATTTTATCTATGGGGTAAATTTCCTCTTACAAGGTTAGAAAGGAGACTTACCTCACTCCGAAATTCCATAAACGGCTTCTGAGCCCTTCAAACAACTCGAATCGATGCTCAACGCCCCAAAACTAACCAACAATTATGCAAACCCATTAATATATACTCAAATACTCAATATAATCCAATTTATAACAATTTCTAACCCCGACCGAAAAGTCGATAAAAACACCCTCAGGCCCACGTGCCCGGATTCCGAAAATTTTCGAAGATAAACTTTACCCATAACCTCGCGAACTCAAATATATAGATTATTCTCAATTTCATGCCCAATTTTGTGGTCAAAAATCCAAAATACCAAATTTTAGGTCTTATCCCACAATTTATACTAATTTCATGTTTAAATCCTTATACAAATCATGTATTTTACTTATAATAAATGGGAATCACTTATCTTGGCATTGATGACGAAGAATGAGCTCCAAAATCGCTCTAAGACCGGCTCTCATGGAGAAAATGGGGTGAAAATGAGCCAAGCTCTCGTTTTTAAAGAACACACTGCCCAACCCCGATGTTCACACCTTCGGTCAAGTAGCCACACCTGCGGCTTCGCAGGTGCGAGACACCTTCCGCTTATACGCCTTCTTCTGGTCCTGCAAGGCATTTTTCGCTTCTGCGCTTGCACAGATGCGGCCCAAAGCTCAGCACATGTGGTCCTTCACCTGGACGGCCTGCTCCGCATCTGCAACTCCAAATGTCTCTTTTGCGCCCTCCTCACCTGCGGCCAAAACCTCGCAGGTGCGGGTACACCAGATATCAGTTGCCTCAACTCTTCTTCAAATTTCAAATTCGATCTGTTAACCACTTGGAATCCACCCGGGGTCCCCGGGACCCTTTCCAATTACACCAACCAGTTCCAAAACACATTACAAACTTAGTCGAGCCTTCAAATCACATTGAACAATGTCAAAATCACGAATCGCAACTCAATTCAAGCTTTATGAACTCTAGAACTTCAAACTTTTACATTCGAAGCCGAAACCTATCAAATCACGTCCGATTGACCTCAAATTTTGCACACAAGGTATATTTGATATTACGGGCCTACTCAAACTTTCGGAATCGGAATCCGACCCCGATATCAAAAAGTTCACTCCCGGTCAAACTTCTCAAAACCCTTCAAATTTCTAGCTTTAGCCAAATGACTCCAAAATGACCTACGGACCTCCGAATCCACTTCCGGACGCGCTCCCAATACCATAATCACTATACGGAGCTATTCCCAAACTCGAAATCCCAAACGGATATCGATAACATAAAATTCACCTCCACCCCAAATTCATGAAATTCTTCTAAAGTACTAACTTCCACAATAGGCGCTGAAACGCTCTCGGGTAATCCAAAACCCGATCCGAACATACGCCCAAGTCCGAAATCATCATACGAACCTACTGGAACCTTCAAATCCCGATTCTGAGGTCATTTACTCAAAATTAATCCTTAGTGAGATTCTTTCAACTTTAAGCTTCCAAAATGAGAATTCTCTTTCCAAATCAACTTTAAACTCCCTGAATCTCAATTCCGACTACGCATACAAGTCATAATACCTGAAGTGAAGTTGCTTATGGCCTCAAACTGCTGAGCGACGCGCTAGAACTCAAAACGAAAGGTCGAATCGTTACATTTTCAAAGATACCTTTTTATTAATTGTGATTAATGAACTATTATCATCGTTCACAAGAGTACTTTAATTTTAGTTTTGATCTTGTCAACTATCTCTCAACCAAACTATAATATCCATATTCAAGTTTAAGGCCTTTGACCAAACTTATTTTCCTATAACACCTTTTTCTCTTGCTAGTATTAAAATTCCCCTCAAGTTTTCCTTCATATATCAAAATTCCAAAAAAGTGTATTTTTTCCTCTTTCAAAAATATGCAGATCCTCTTTTGTATTTTTGTTGGGGTATTAAGTAATATCACAAAAATTTGAAATGTTAGTGTTAATGATAGTAATATTTAAAAGGAGATTTAAATATCGTATATATTTACAAAGCAAAAAAGCATAGAGTCTAAGAAACTAAATATCCTTGAATATCGAAGAAGTGCAGATTAATATTAACGACTTTAGTAACAGCTAGTTCTTACTTATTCTTTATGGACTTTGCTGCTTTGATTTTCTTGTTTTGTGAAAATTATATGTTACATAATTCAAATAAAAGAATATTTATAACATATATTATTTAATAGTAATTTTTTAAAATATTTCAAATAAGAAAGGATTTAATCCACTAATTGACTTAAACTCTTAAATATTAGGCGAAAACTTAAATATTACGCGCGTAAACTCCTATTAGAATGTTATTATTTCTTAAATTAATAAAAATTACTAAGTAATTTATCATAATTATAAACTAAAAATCAAAGGAAGAATTAAGTCTAGTGTAATGATGGAAGTTAATATGATATTTGAAGCAAATGAAGAAAATGTACCTCACAAAGTCCTAAAAATTCAAATACCTTATTGAATTAACCACATATTATTGAGTTTTACTCAAACGATATAAATGCCAAACTTTTGAATTAATTGACTTGCAAGTTTGTAGCATATGAAAAAATCATCAAAATACGTGGAATGGTGTTTTAAAATGCTTTCTCGGGACTCGCCTCGTGGCTCGTCCGGGGCGGGACACTATCAAGTGCCACGTGAGGCTCAATTCTATGAGACTTACACCTCAGTGTTCAGGTGTTGTGCACCCGAAATATGCCTAACGCTCTTCGCTCGAGGCTCGTCTAATAGTTCCTAGCGCAAATCATGCATCAAATTCCCTAATTAGCATTGTTGACACTCATATTTCTCTAACAAATTAATGATTACAGCTTTATTCATCTATAGAATGTGAAGATTGAGAATAACTTAAATAATGAGTCATCATATTATATATTTACTAATTGGGAACATCAAAAGTTGAGTATCATTGGAATTGCCAAAATTTACATCTTCACTTACTATAGGTATTCATATTTTAATTCTATGTCACTCAAAATTATCAAACTTTTATTATTTTGCTATTTGAAAATAATTTTATATTTACTGATAAGGAGTAATATTTTAAACTACTTTATTGATGGAGTGTACTGATTATTAGCTTTTAGAGAAGAAAATCATGCAATTTGATAATATTTTAAAATATTGTGATCTTTTAATTTCCAGACCCCACTTGTGAGATTTTACTGGTCGTTGTTGTTGTTGTGATATAATCATTTGAAAGATAAGACGTTAAAGTTAATTTATGTTTTATAGTAACTTTAACATTATTGCATTATTTATATTTATTAAAAAAAATACTATATATTTTATTTTTGTAACTTTTTAAATTTTCATAAATTTTCTTAAACTTTTAATGTATTTTATATATTTTTTTGTGGTTATTTTGCTAGTTTACAAATTAAAAAATTTAATATCCATGGGGCTTACGCCTCATGTCTCAGAGCTTATGCCTTACTCCGTGTTAAGTAAAACGTCTCACCTCACGCCTCCGCCTTTTAAAGCACTGCGTGAAAATAACACAAAGGATAGAATTTACATCAATAAAGTCTTAATCAATTTAAATTACTAATTATGAGGAATTTCGACGTAATTCAAAGAAAAGATTTAATATACAAAAGAATTAAAACTTGATACAATAAGTAAGTGATTAAATAAATAAAAATCTCCATGAAAAATTTGTGTTTTTAAAATCAAAAAGTCAATCAATATTTTGTGTTAAAATTTCATGTTTTATAGATAGACAGATAAATGAAGTTTGTCAATCACAAGTAGCTATCACATAGAAACAAAGAAGTAGATGCAACAAGTACTACCTTACATGTCCCTGCTAAAAAATGGGACTTCTACATCAAGGTCCGCAACATCACAAGGCAGGTGCTATCCACTCAGATGAGGTTCTTCTAATACCATTTTCACATAACGTTGGTACCATTCAGGTAGATAAATGACAAGGTGAAGTAAAGGTCAAATTTGAGCTATTCATTATAAAGAAAGCATTTTGATATTGCCAAGTAACCTGATATGCTGATACAGACAAATACAAATCGTTTTTTACAAAATCAGATACGTGGTGAACTACATCAGTATCTTCCTTTTAAATTCAGTGCAAAACATTGCCAGTGGCGTAAAGGGGCTTCGTTAACTTGTATCCATAAAAGCAAAAGCCAGAAATTTAAGTACTGTACGTTAAACTAAAGCAATATAAACACAAGTCTAGATAGCCACAACAAAAACATTAACTAAAGTAATATAAACACAAGGCTAGACAACCATTACAAATTTAAATTCCTAGAAAGCAAAAGCAATCCACAACGAAAACATTAAGCATTAACTAAAGCAATATAAACACAAGTCTAGATAGCCACAACAAAAACATTAACTAAAGTAATATAAACACAAGGCTAGACAACCATTACAAATTTAAATTCCTAGAAAGCAAAAGCAATCCACAACGAAAACATTAAGCATTAACTAAAGCAATATAAATACAAGTCTAGACAACCATTACGAATTTAAATTCCTAGAAAGCAAAAGTAGTCCACAACGAAAACATTAAGCATTTGATTGGTGATTTGCATTGTTATCCGCCGATGATCCTCTTACATCCACCTGTGAAGTACGTTCATGCTCTGCATCATCAGGCTGAAACAATAAAAACCATATTCGGTGAGAAGCTTTTTTAGATTAATCCCAAACAAGATCGGAAAACAAGATTGAATCAAAGGTATCCCTTATCCTAAAGTTTCGAATCAAAGCCTTAGCTTCCGCAAGGAGATGGAAATTCCTTGCCACCACCTCCATCTTTAGCAAAGTTATCAACAAGTTTTACTAGAATTAGATGATATTGAACTGTATATTGTACTAACTAATTATGCAGGTACAAAACCAAATATCAGACTCTGGGCATTGCCATGTTATCGAATGTTTAATTTTCACACCATCTTACACCTATCTTTTCAATTATGATATCAAATGGCAATAGTAGACAGGACCAGCAGTGGGAAGACAACTCAACCCAGTAATAGTATGGCTTCTCTAGCAATATTAGACATAGTTAATCTCTTCCACAGAAGCACAAAGGCACCTTGCACCAGGCAAATCACATATTCCAGCATGAACTAATTTTCATTGCTTTATCACAAATAACAACAGAAATATAAGTGTGTTCCTGATTCAATTGAGAAGCATGCCTTATATCCAACATTAGGCGCTCTTTTCTTATGGTCCACACTACCCTAGCCCCTACCCCTTGTTTTAGGACACAACACAATTTATGAAACACGACCAATAATTCTGCCAGCAACTTTTGAATAACAGAGGATTAACTAAACTAAAGGCAAGAAAGCACACATACAAGCTTTAAGAGATGGTCACATGTTAAACTACAACTGAGTCATTATTTCTATTTCTCAAGGGCGAGGAGGACGCAACAAGGTTCTCAACATATTCAGTCTTAAAAGGTTACACAAAGCATTAAGGATGCTTTTAGTCAATGATGGCACTTCACATGAAACGCATAGACAGCTAGAATAAACAGTATGTTAACTTCATGCTGCAGTATTGCAAACTAATACAATCAATGGATTTCAGAACCCTGTGTTTGATGAATTTCAGATTTTTATTTTTCACCGACCCACCAACCAGAAAGTAAAAGCTCACAATCTAGGAGTTAACTGAGCATTGAGCTATCGAAATCTAAGCTAAACAATATAGTCCTGTTTGCGGGAAAAGTAATTATTGTCCTAAAACAGTTTAATTTTTCAAAATTGACAGATTTAACTTGACTATAAACAAGGATACATCTTCTCGAATTACCTATTAAGCAAAACAAACAGAACACACTTTTTAAGGTACCCAAAAATAATGATCGATTAATACAAACCAAACATCGAACAAATGATGAGATAAAAAAATTTCCACAAACTACCCAACAAACCCAATCTAGAGCCCCAAAAAGATCTGCTTTTTTTTTAACTCCAAAATAAAATAAAATAAAATCCACAATATACTCTACAAGTAGTCAAATCCAAGTAATTGACAAAGAGGGCCATAGAGAATCAAAGAACTGCACAATGCTACTAGTTGGGTAAAACTAAGCAGTGAAATAATTTACATATTTACATCCTAAATATAAAGAAAAAATGTGTGTCCCCCAATCATATTGATGAAAGTAAAATGAACAAACATCAAAAAATTAAAATACAAATAGAAAAAAGAGAACTGACCTAATGCTCACCAGGATTTCATCTCTCCAAGAGGAATAATACGGTGAATATATAGCTCTGAAAATGGAAGTTTCTAACTAAGAAAATGGGAGAAGAGGGGAAGGTGGAAATATGGAGGGAAATAATGGCGGGAATATAGAGTAGTTATCTGAGTAGTTGAGTTAAAAACGAGGGAACTGAAGAGGAAAACGAGGGAAGTGGTTTCTTTGTTACTTTTATTCTATTTAATTTTTATTATACAGTTATTTAAATAGAGCACATTTGGAAAATAGAAATAATATGTTTGGTAAAATTTATTTAAATACAATTCATTATCTACTACACAAGAATCAATAAGACAGTAAGGACAAAACAAAAAATCCAAAACAACGACAAACTAAAATATACAAAAATTTATAAAATCCGTTAAATTAGATAAAAGTAACAAGTTCTAGTTATTAAATTATTTATTTAATATACATAGTGTTTAAAAGGCTCTTTTGGGGCACATTCGGGGTTAGCCGTCCCTGGATGGGGCACTGTTCAAAAAGTCTTGAAGAATATGTGTGGAGCTTGGTTATGTGAGTTTACACGCTCCAAAGTGTCCGACTGTGCATCCAAAACACGCATATCGCTTAATGGTCGGGGCTTGCCTAATACAATCAAACTTTTCTTTAACAGCATCTCTATATCATAATCATTTATTATAAAAGTCAAGTTTTTTCGGAATTGATTTTTATGTTATGTTATAATATATGTTTTTATAACAACACCTCACTATACCAGCCAAAAAATATCGGAATAAACGAGGTTGTTATAGAGAGGTTTGACTGTAGTTCCTACTTGAATCACGTGTCAAGATCTCTAATTAACACTATTGATACTTAATTCTTTAACAAAGTTATGATTAAACTTTTATTTGAGAATAACTCAAATAATGAGCCACATAATTGCATATACTAATTGAGAATATCATGAGTGTGAATATCATTAGACTATTTTTTTCTAAATTAGATAGTAAAAATTGTATCTTATTTCCATTGGTCTTCATGTCTTACATGAAGGAGTAATCTTTTAAATTATAGTATTTATAAACTTTATTGATTAATTACTTTTATGGAGGTAAAATGTATAGCTTGATACATTTTTAAAGAAATTATAATTTTTTAATTGTTTGACAGTTAAGACATTATAGTTGTATCTCATAGTAACTTTAATACTATTGTATTATTTATACTTGTAAAAACATACAAGATATTTTATTTTTTATGAGTTTATTTTTTTTTTAATTTCTTAAACTTTAATATATTTTTATTTGGTTTATTATGCGTCATTTATAAATTAAAAAATTTAAAGATAGATTGAGGTTACGCCTCGTCCCGTAGTAAAATGGCTTGCCTCACACTCCCGCCTTTAAAAATACTATTTGAACATAGAACACCTACTATGATGAAAATAAAGAAAATCCGCATGCTAAGTATTGCAATTATTTATATCCCTTTAAAATTTAAATTATCTCAAACAAAATTAAAAAAAATCAAATGTTTGTGTAGATAATTACAAAACTTGGATGTCTCTCCTGCAACTGTTGTTCATTGGATGTGTAGTCGTTACCTATGAATGAAGATATTATTTATGATTAATCTAAAGTATATTTTTCCGGTTTTATTAGGTCTCGTCGACCCTATTTGTTCAGTGAGACTCACCGAGCAACTCATGCATTCAATGCTCCATATTATTGTCTTCTTATTTGGAGGCAAGTATCGCTTGTGACGGCGAGACCAAATTGAATCAACATCATTTCTTGCATTTGTTGAGCCACACTTCAACTTTTGTGATGGCTCATTTTGCATTATTCTTTTGTTATCCAATATTGTGGTCCAACGTAAGTTAATTTTTTATTTTTTTGCACCTAAAGATTCACGATACTCATGTGGTTAGAAATTACATTTAGTATTTATGGGTAGACATTTCGTATAAATCTATAAATAAAAAATTTATGAGGAAGAAATGGAATAGAAGTCGTTATTATTTTTTGCTAAAGATAGAGAGATGAATTAAAGAAATGCACAAAGACAATCAAAAAAAAAACTAACGAGTAAGACATAGAATAATGAAAAACCTTTCTTTTTGTAGTTAAAGAAAGTGAGCAGAAAAAGATTACAAACTAGAAGGTATAGATACTGATGTAAATTGCATTAATTCGCAAAGTTTTAACTAAAATATGTAATTTGATTTAATTTTAAAGAAATAAGGTGAAAAAAATAACTAAAAATTTTCATGAGTTAATAATTGTTAACTTGTATCGAATTGCAACAATTTCTCAAACACCTGGAATTGATATATTTGTGGAGGTTATCAAAAAGCTTCACAAAGAAACCGCCATAATAAGAAAAAAAATTGAGGAGGTGGGAACAAACGCCACGAATTGAATATATAGTGGGGGTCTTTTACGATCCCCATATTTAAACCGCCACAATAAGAACTATTTTGTGGGGGGTGGCTCAAACGACACAAAACAAACATATAGTGGGAGTTTTTTATGATCCCCATAAATAAATCGCCACAATTTACCAATTTTTTTATAGTGATTATTTTTCGTGGATATTATTTCTGGGCGGGATTATTATTTTTCCCAACAATGTGGTATCAGAGCCATGGTAAATAATGGTATACTATTTTTTCAGTACCCCCGTCTCACAAAAGATAATTATGAGAAATGGTGTCTACGTATGAAAGTCATTCTTGGCTCCCAGGATGTGTGAAAAATTGTAGATAGATGGTATGCAAAATCCAATAATGAGGAAGCTCTGCCTCAAAATGAAAAAGATGTCTTGGCAAAGACAAGGAAGAAGGATCAACAAGCCCTCACGCTCATCCACTAATATTTTGATGATGTCATGTTTGAGAAGGTGGCAGATGTTACCACCTCAAAGGAAGGGTGAGAGATTTTACAAATTTCTCTTCAAGAATTTGACAAGGTGAGGAAGGTAAAACTTCAAACTCTAAGGGCTAACTTTGAAGTTTTAAAAATGAAAGAATCTGAATACATTTCGGATTATTGTTCAAAAGTGAAGGTTATTGTAAATCAATTAAGAAGATACGGGGAGGACATAGAAGATGTCAGTATGGTAGAAAAGATCCTTCGCACTTTAACATCTAAATTTGATTTGTGGTATGTGCTATTGAGGGGTTTAAAGATTTAGACTCTATGCTGGTAGAGCAATCGGAGGGTTCTTTACAGGCCTACGAAGAAAAGATCAAAAGAAAACAAGAAGTGCCACTGGAGCAACTTCTTAAAACTCAGGCATCCTTTAAGGATTATGGAGGTGAAAAGAGCTATCGAGAAAACGTACGAGCACGAAGCCGTGGCTGTCATGGGAGAGGAAGAAATAATGGTAATAACTTCGACAATGAAGTTAAAATCCACCAAACATTCAGAGGTCGTGGCCGTGGACAAAGAGGAGGAAGAGGATGTGGCTACTACCAAGAAAATAATGGACAAAGGTATGACAAATCAAAAATTGAGTGTTATAATTGTCATAAATTTGACCATTACTCTTGGGAGTGTCGTAGCAATGTTGAAGAAAAAGTTAACCTTGTTGACGACAAGAAAGAAGAATATGAGTCAACGTTGTTGATGGCACTCAAAAAAGAAGACATGGATGATTGCAGCTCGTGGTATTTGGACAATGGAGCAAGCAATCATATGTGTAGATGCAAAGAGAAGTTTGTGGAGATCAATAAAACGGTGAGAGGTAATGTGTCCTTTGGAGATACCTCAAAGATTCAAATCGAAGGGATAGGTACGATTCTGATCTCCTGTAAAGACGGTAGTCACAAGCTAATTCAAGATGTTTATTATGTGCCAAAATAAAAGGCAATATTTTGAGTTTGGACCAACTTCTTGAAAGGAATATGACATCCACATGAAAAATATGTATCTTTGGCTTAGAGATTCAGGTGAAATTCTAATTGTTAAAGTGCATATGACAAAGAATAGATTATTTTCTCTGAATCTTAAAATAATTGATGCAAATTGTTTGAAGACTAATGTGCAAGATGAATCATGGTGTTGGCACATGCAATTTAGGCACTTGAATTTTTGAAGCACTCAAATCAATGGGAGAAAAGAACATGGTGCATGGGATACCATCAATCAACCATCCCAATAAATTGTGCGAAGCTTGTCTTCTTGGAAAACATACAAGGAGGAGTTTTCCAAAGGAGGCCATGTCAAGATCAACTAAACAGCTTCAGCTTGTTCATACTGATGTGTGTGGACCAATCAATCCACCTTCCTTTGGTAAAAGTAAATACTTTCTACTTTTCATTGATGATTTTAGTAGAAAGACTTGGGTTTATTTCTTGAACCAAAAATCTGAAACTTTTGCAACTTTTAAAATTTTCAAAGTACTTATGGAGAAAGAAAGAGGCTATGAAATAAAAGCTTTAAGGTCCGATAGAGGAGGCGAATTCACTTCAAAAGAATTTAATGACTTCTGTCAGCCTCATGGAATTCGTCGTCTTCTAACGGTACCTTATTCACCCCAACAAAATGGAGTTGCAGAGAGAAAGAATCGAACAATTCTTAATATGGCTAGATGTATGTTAAAAGCTAAAAGTATGCCCAAGGAATTTTGGGCATAAGCTGTATCTTGTGCAATTTATTTGAACAACAAGTCTCTAACAAGAAATGTTAGAGATCAAACCCCTCAAGAAGCATGGAGTAGAATAAAGCCAAGTGTCAAGCACTTGAGAATCTTTGGGAGCATAGTCTATGCTCATGTGCCACGTCAAGGGAGAGTGAAGCTTGACGATCGAAGTGTCAAGCATGTGTTTGTTAGCTATGATACGAGTTCAAACACTACTAGAAACATAACATTTTCCCACGGAAAAATTGTTAGTGGCAATTCCCACCGAAATTCAATGGGAAAAGTGAAATTTCTTTTCCATGAATAAACAATAATGTTTCCCATTGACTATCCGTGGGAACGTTTTTGCGCAAAAATGCGCATAATTTAGTTTCCTCTAATTCAGTGGGAAAAGTCATTAAAAAATATTATATAAAACTAAAAAAATTTCTTAGGGAAAACAGTGGGAAAATTAAAAAAATATTTTCAAATATTCCCACAGATTTTGTAT